CCAGATCACTCTCTCCCCATGGGAAAACCCCTGGGAGAGAGTCTGAGGGAGGAGTGGAAGAGAGAAATGCCAGGAAGTCATGCTCCTTGGGTCTCCTGCAAATTCTTCCATTATGCCCTCAGATCTCAAGGATGCCATGAAGTCTATATAGTCTATAGGGCCTGTATGAAGGCCCTGTGCTTCCACACTGACTCCTGGCCACCTATGTCTCCACGTCTGATGACACACAAGCAAAATGGCCTTGGGAGGGAGGGCGAGCAGCTGAACACAGAAATATTAAGAGCCTGAATCTAGTATTAAAGTTTCCCAATACTTCTGTGAGCACTGGGAAAGGAGCATGATGCATGTTCCTTTAGTCTCATTCCTCGCCATGCACCCCCCCTTTTCTTCCCCACGGAGGGGTCACTGCACAGTCTGGGGCCTGTGGTTGATTGTGCCACAAAAGAAGCTGAGCTCTTGCTCTCTCATGATATGCTCTGAGCATGCCCCACTCTGCTCAGTTCTGGGAGGATTGGGCTGCATGAATGTTCACGTGAGCCCAGGAGAATAAGTGGCTCGTTGGTGTTATCACTAAGAGGCAAATAACCACAGTGGTGGCACTAACACTGGGAACATGACCATGTGGCTTTGGGAGATCACTGGAGCTTGTGAATGAGGCAGTGAAATGTAAAATCCTTGACCAGTTACACCAGACAGGACAGTCATCATACGTGCCAGAGTCAGGCTCCCCAGAGAGAGAGGCCAACCACAGGCAAATCCAGACACCAGTTATCTCCTCCCCACCACCCCGTGCTCCTTCAAAGAAGTGTCAGTGTATTATCATCACAGGATCTCTCTAGAAGTCAACACCACCACTCAGCCCTGTGCACTGCATGGTTTTCTTCTCACACAGCAGTTGTGAGACGTGAAGTCTATTTGCCAAGAGGGGAGAGCCGTCTGGTGGAAAGTCTTCACTCTGTCCAGCTTGGGCACCACTCTCCAGTCACTCTGCTCACAGAGCTTGTCTGCTGGCACAGTTAGCAAGTCTCACTTGGAGAAACCAAACAATAGTGTTGCACTGGCCATCAAGCCCCAGGCTTTGTGCTTATACAAGCACTGCTAACTGGCTTCAAATGCACAACTGGTATAGGCCAGTCATGCTTTTACTGTAGCCCAGCTTGTTCCTATGGGCTAGAAATGTCTTTATGCATTAGTCAATTACAAATAAACTTACTTGTACAGCGGAGTCACAGGAGCATTAAGAGGGGTAGCAACTTCGGTTATTACATAATAGGGAAGCAGCCTCAGATGCTGACAAACCCATGTAAAACCCCAGTTCAAGAACAACACCCAGCGGCATGGCTCATACATCAAGGGCAGGAGATGCTAGGCAGGAGCAGAGACATGGGGATGATTCTGAACATAGCAGTGGGACTGGGAAAGCCAAGAAAAAACAAAAGAAGAAGGGCACCCTCAGGGGGCGTGAGACATTGACACACCCATTCTGGATGGTGGACCAATCCAGGATGAACTAGATAACACCACCACTTAAATGTGGATACCATCTTTTACCTGTAGATTTCCAAGCATTTTACAAAGACATTATCCCTATTTCACAAGTGGGGAAACTGAGGCACAGAGATGACTGACTTGCCTAAGGTCACCCAGCAGCATGGCAATGGCAGGGCCAGGAATAGAACATAAGTTTCTTGAGCCTTAGTTCGGAGCCCGGCCCACTAGACCACACTGGAGAGAATTTAGGGGAGTTTCCACTGTTCACATTCAAATACCGTCATGCAGGATTCAAAACAAGACCAATACCATCAGGGGATCTGTCGGGCATCCTGAGGGCATGACAATCATTTGGGGTTACACTAGCTTCCCTGGGTCCCAGGGGAAGCTGGAGGGCCCTTGAAGCCAGTGTAACATTTTAAACATTGCAGCTCACCCTCAGAGGTACAGGACTCAGCCCCAGGCAGCCCCAGATTAGCAAGCATCTCACTGTTGCTACCCCTTTGGGACCCTATCCACAGCTTCATACTGTCCATGCACTGGCCCTCGAAGGTGCCTGCTCACACATCTCAGGAACTGGGGCTCTTCATGGTACTGCCTTGCCCAGCTCCTGGGGTCACTGTATATTGCCAGGGGTCTGGCGGGTAAACAGGCTCCTCCTCGCATGACCGGTTTCTCCCATAGCCTGCCTCCTACGGCCTGTCCTTCACAAGGAGCCTTGAGCCCTGCACCCCCAGCAACACCCTCTCATGTAAAGGTCTATCAGAGCAATGAGCCAGGAGTTGGCAGCTGCCTACCCACCTCTGGGCATAGTGCCCCAGGGCACACTGGGGTGGGCACCAGCATCTCTAGGCGGCACTGTTCAAGCCTGTAGGGAAATTTTTCTACAAAAAATGGGTGCTGTGTTTGTCTCCCCCTCCTGGTTCTTATTTCCCCGCTCACGGTTCTTCACGGTTGCTAAGCTAACTGTTTTCTCCATGTATTCCCTTCTAGGTGCCATCTTTGGCAGTGGTACAGTCCTGGCCCCAGTGCATAGATACCGCATCACTCCCCCACACAATGCCCAGCACTTTCCCCCCTGCCCTCCTTCCTCCCATGGTCCTTTGGGGATTTGTGGCTCCACATGGGGAAGGGGAAGGCTGGGGGCAGCTGGGGAGGTAAATGAATTTCCTTGGGGATGTTTGGGGAGGAAGCTATGCTATGTGTCCTCATTAATGCCTCTGTCCTGTGCTCCCTTGCTCAGGACATATGGAAACACTCATTCTGCTAGGTCCAAACCATCTGGACAGCCCCCAGTGGCGGAAGTGTTTTCTAGGGAGCCCTCATCTGTGTGTCTGTCTGTCTGGTGGTTTGGACCGCATGTAATTTGGACTTTTATGTAACCCACACCCACCTAGTGCAGTGCTCTGTCCCTGTCTAGCAGTAGCTGGGTCACATACACAGGTTGACAAGACTCTACAGCCTATGACAGTGACCACAGAGGCCTTAGGTCTGATTCCTGCTGCCGATGACCCACCAGGGGGAGTGGTGTTCCTTCTACCTTGCCATGCAGATGGAGCCCCAACTTTTCCCAGATGTGTTTTAAAAAACAGTGTAAAGTTATGACTTTCTATTGCCCCTTGGTCTGGTGTGGCTGCTTGCGGGGGCAAGGGCATGGGGTCTGAGTTCTGCTCAATTGTCTCAGAGACAGCCTGCACTCATAAAAATCCCTGGGGAGTAACCAGCTCCATCCCTACAGTCCAGCTGTACCCCAGGTGCAGGCAGTCTGGGGTGCTTTTAACACACCCCTTTGGAAACCCCTTGAGTGTGAGCCTATGCTTTGTGCCCATTTTTGTTCCCCAATGGGACACTTTCACCACTTCTAGAAACTGCGGCCCTTAACTATATAATAATCTGTAGGATCACACAGTCTTTGGCATGGACTTCCATCAGAATGAATCTTTACTGATAATCTGGTACAAACCAAACCTTTGATGGTTTCTCTTAACATCAAACATACTACACTAGAGTACACACCATTAATATCTGCTTAAATATCAAAATTATAACATCTTAAATATACATAAATAAAGGACCTCTAAACAGCCATATGAATTTCACTCATTCCAGTGGAGCAGATAGCATTTAGTTTATATAAGAAACTTTCTCCCATCTGGGAAACCTCACTCACAGTAATGGCTCATGAAATCTGACTGCATCAGTAAGGGCCCAGTCCTGAAAGGTACTGCACATCCTCAGCTCCTAACTGGAGTCAACAGGCGTTGAAGTCACTGTACTCCCTGTAAGGGGCACTCAGCAACTTGCAGGAGAAAATGTGAAATACTGTAAGTCAAAAGTGTGAAGAGTCTAATGCAATTTGACTGAGCATCTTACAATAAATAACCTGGTGAGTTAACAACTAGGGAGCAATGCCTCACCAAATAAGTCATTCAGTGTTAATAACAAAACTGAACTATTGTAAGATTCTTCTCCAAAGGTTTTAACCATGATCCCACAGACATAAAGCACCCAACTTTAAACAAACCCTGGGGTGAAACCCAAGCTCAATTTGTAATGCAAGGGGTGCTGGGGCTCAAGTAGGTTTTTTTATTTTCATAACTGATGCAGCAAGCCCAGAGGTGCAAAGCCTAGAGGTGCCGGGGCTTAGCCCTGTCAAGCCCTGGCACAAATTACGCACTCGGCAAAACATGCAGAGAGCCAGATCTCACCCCAAGAGCTACACACAGGTTAGCCCGCTCCCAGGATCTGTTGCATTAATTTTGGTGGAATAAATGGGCCTAGAAAGTCAATGGCATTAATGTGACCCTGGCACATACAACACTAAACAGTTAAAAGTGGCTGGGAGGTTAGAGTACAGAAATACAAGAGCTTCCCCAGCTCAGAAGGGGAAAGGCCAGTAGCAGGGATGGAGATAGGCCATTATTCTCCCCATCATCAAAGCCCCACAAGGAGTCTGTGAGAGATCTGTAATGAAGTGCCATTCTTCTCAGGAACAAGAAAGAACTGGAGGAACAACACAACAGGAACCCAGAGCACTGACCAGCTAGAAGAGATGATGCTACAGCAATCAACAGCCATTTGCAAAATGGCCACTGTGGGGCTGCAGCTGGTTGGCTCTAACAAATTTAAAGGGCCAAGCTCAGAAAGGCCTGCTGGGCAACAAGTTCTTATTAGAGGGAAATCCTGCACTGGGAAAAGTTAAGAGGGATGCGAATGTAACGCTGACAGACCCCGGTATCGAAGCGGGGACCTCTTGAGCTCTTTGTGCATGAGTCTCTACCACATGAGCTAAAAGCCAACTCCCTGTTAGCTAAGGCTGTAAAGCAAACTCATTTTATCTATCTCTTTAAGTGGTCTTGGTGCCAGTCGATAGGACAGAACACCACACCCAGGTGTGTGCGTTACACAAAAGTTACTGAGGAAGGAGCTTCAGTAAGACACACCTGTATCGTAGTAGCCTCTGGCTGCATTTATTTTGTTACAAAGCCCCTCTGTGTTATGAGCCCACACACACTTATTGTTAGGGAGGGTTTCCAGGGCAAGTCCTGGGAGTATGGCGCAAATAAAGCTGTGCAGTCCAGGAGCTGGGGTAGAGGGATAGAGCATCCCACCATGCAATCACCCAGAGCCAGTGTAGAGATACAAAGCTTCCATGTGGAAAGCCTTGGTGGCCTTGTGTGCATCATCCCCACTCTGTGTGGCTCTCTGCATCTGTGGGGGGAGTCCCGTGTTCATTTCACAAGAAGGCAAACCTCCTTCCTTGATTGGCCAACGTGGGGGAACAGAGTGGAGAAACTGCACAGTCTGAACGGCCCGCTTTCCTGGGCTTTTCTACACGAGGGATCAGTCTGACTGAGAGTAATTCATCCTAATGAGTCAAAGCCCTTCAAAGCTTGATCAATATTTTGTTCATACTCTTCATTTTATTAATAGGCAGCAAATGGAGTTAAAATAAAAACAGGAAATCAGACTTTCTTAGGTTATCATGCAAAATGAAGACTCGACTCAGCTAATCCCCCAGTCATCTGGTGGTATTCAGTCAGAGTGTAAAGGGAAGTGAATGAAGATTGTTCAACAATCATCCCTGTTTGCCCCCCCCAAAAAAAAACCCCTAAAATGTGTAGCGGCCTCCAAACCGTACTGCGGCTTATGTCAGATGCAGTGGAGTAAAAATGAGGCTATGAGTTCACATGATTGAAACAGCAGCAGTGCAAGGTAAGATTGACATAAACATCAGTCATTACAACCAGGTGACTGGCAGAACACGAACATCCCCATACGTGCCTAAACTCTACAGAAACCCTTGACTTTTGCTCAGCCTCAGCATTGTTTGACACTGAGCTACAATTAACCCACAGGGATGTCAAGCTTATGCATTAGCCACCGTTGCTGAGCATTCCCAGTTGACTGGGGTCTGATTTGAGCTCCTGAGCTTTCCTGTGGACATCAAGTCGCATCCTGAATGAAGTCTGCATGAAGTTGACTTCTTGGCCGGTGCCGTGGTCATGCAGAACTGAGCAGGTGGGGTTGCAATGGGGCCATGGACAGTTATCAATCAGATGGAAGGGACAACTTCTCATGGGGATCTTTGGGGCTTTATTGCTGTCTTGAAGGCTCTTCTCCCAGCACTGCAAGGCTCTGGCCAAAGAAATGCCCTTCACTTGAAATCCCAGCCAGTAGCTACAATATAAGAAGAGGAGGAAGATGATTACTGAAAAGTGATTACATTGACAAATAACCAATAGAGATGGGGCTAGCTCAAGAGAGAGACTTCTTGTTCTGATTTTCCTTCGCCGATTATTATTAAATAATTCATATTAATAGGAATATTAACTTGGAGCCCAAACCTGCAACCACAATTGGGCACAGCACTTAATACTTGAGTAGTCCCATTGGAGTAATTGGACTATCATGACCATAAGCACTAGCCCAGCCGTAAGAATTTGCAGGATTGTAATGCCTCAGCACTGATTTGTTTCATTTTGCTAAACAGCTGCAGAAATCTACCTAAGCAATGAGATTCCTGCAGGCAGCACATAAAGGGGCAGCAGACTGAGGGAAGCGCTGAAGATGTGTGTAGCCAGACAATATTTGTTAGACAGAGTCACGCTGAGAACTAACATGACTTAATACTTGAAAGATGAACAGACATTTAATCCACTTAGGTGACATCTAGTAGGGCAAGGAAATGAAGAAGGCATCTTTGCTCACCTTTTTGTAATCAGCGTGTGAGACAGGCATGCAGGTGCAAACACAGCTCTGTGGGAAAGGGAAACACAGACAAGTGACGGACAAGTGACACAAAATACCCTCTGCACATCCTAGGGAAAACATCCTTTCCTATATTTATATAGGACTTTAAAGGGACCAGCCCACTGCCATTGACTTCTGTGAACAGGACTGTGATAACCTTGGTCACAGAGAGCCAGGTTCTCATCTGGTGTAAATTGTCAGAGCTCTGTGAAACTAGAACTACATAAGAACATAAGAACGGCCATTCTGGGTCTGATCAAAGGTCCATCTAGCCCAGTATCCTGTCTTCTGACAGTGGCCAATGCCAGGTGCCCTAGAGGGAATGAACAGAACAGGCAATCATCAAGTGATCCATCCCCTGTCGCCCATTCCCAGCTTCTGTCAAACAGAGGCTAGAGACACCATCCCGGCCCATCCTGGCTAATAGCCATTGATGGACTTATCCTCCATGAACTTATCTAGTTCTTTTTTGAATCCTAAACTATTTGAACCCTGCACTATTTACACTAGCTGAGGATCGGCCCCTTTGAGTAGTACTTTTTTAGGTCTTGTCTACACAGTGGGGTAATGTGCTCCATGGGGGTGTGCTTTTTAAAGCACATTAACATGTTGGGCATGAATTGGTCCATGTAGACACTGCTGGTGTGCACTAAAGGTTAAAGTGCACCAGAAGGGTCTACAGATCAATTAATGGACAACACGTCAATGCACTTTAGAAATCACACCCCCATAGAATGTATTACCCCATCATGTAGACAAGTCTTATGGCACAAGTAGTCCAGTGGTTGTCAGTTACTATTCAGTTGTAACACTATCATGGAATGCTAACAGTTGATGCACAGATTAGCTCATCAAACGAATGTTACATTTCTGCAGGCTCAGTAATTAGCAGGAGTGTATTAGATGGTGAGCATATGTAACCTCATTTTATTTTATAAGACCAAATTCTGTCTTCAGTTGCCCCCCTGTGATGGTCAACCTTTGGTATTTATTCAACACAAAGTAGCATAATACTGACGGGACATCACGCAATGAGTTCCTAAGTTCTCGCCCAAGGTTTTGTAGGTAGTGCCACTGATTTTCTGTTAGGAGCTGACTTCCAAGATGGATATTTTCTAATTTCAGCTGCTCCTCATCGAACAGCCACTGAACCACAAAAACTGGAGCTGCAAAAGAAAGAAAGGCACCCTAGAAAATTGTAGATTAAGTCAGTAATTGACATTAGCATACAGGGCCAGATCCTGCAGCTCCAAAGAAACACCAGTAGCTAGAGGCTAATGCTGATTACGCTAGTGCCCAGGAGCCCATTCATAGACCAGACTCTCATTGTTCTAGGCACTGTACAAACCCAGAACAAAAATATGGTCCCAGCCCCAAAGAGCTTCAGAAATGTTCAACTCCCACTATGCATCATGGGAGCTGCTGGATGCTGAGCACCTCTGAGAATCCAGCCCCAATTAAAGTCAGTGCAGGATCAGAGTCAAACGCTGAGAGAAGATGAACTTACATTTCAAGGATGAATACAACCTATATCCAAGGAAGCATTGCCACTCGTTAACTCTCTTGAACTGCTGTTTACATTTTTCTGGAAGGATTCCATTCCACATCCTAAAAAGCCATGGCCAGAAAACATTAGTGGGAAAAAGAAAGGTGGTGTTACCTTAAACTAATATGTTTTTTAAAAAAAGATAAAATAAAAGCTATGTGTCTAAAACCAATTGTTCGTGTGAGACGAATACAATACATCCAGCATAAGGAATACATGGCATATTGTTCAGTCCGAGGGAAGCTCTCTTCTTTTGAACATAGCAATGCCTGTTTTCTTCCTGAAAGTGCTGTGATGGCCAGTAAAGCTGGGTAACTTTCAGTTCATGATAATGATCAGCTTATCTATAAGAGCTTCACAGAGAGGTACATTTGCAGCAGGTTATTTTCCCTTTTGGGGTTGCAAGATGAAGCTGCAAGATTTACATGCACAGTTTAATTCCAGGTGCCAGTCCAAGTGCTTGTGTCCCTCACTACCAGACCGAAGGTGCAGATCAGGTAGCCAGAGGTGCAAGAACTCATATTTGAATCATTTTACGGGCACAAATTTTGCAGACATAGCAAAAAACACCCCAAGGTTACAACCCACAGTCTCAAGTACCTGAGTCCTTTCTTGATTGCACCCACTGGGGCACAAGAGGCAGCATCTGAACAATCAGATTGCCTTGGATGTTTAATGTCCAGGAACCAGCCAGAGTCAACAAGTCCTCTGACCTGGACTGCCTCAGCCTCTAGCTCCTCCAGAAGGGCCACCACCCTCTCCAGGTTCAGTAGCACACCAGTCCCACCAGCACTGAAGAGAAGAAAGGCATCAGTTATCTGGGACCCCAGACGGAGCCCTGCTTGTGTTTCCGGCACTCTTTGCCAGCACTTTCTGCAGCAAATACAGGAAATGGAAGCAGTGCATTGTAGTCACTTTAAAGCCCACTATCATTGTAATCTCACCTGCTGCTAACTGTTCTCACCAGAGATGGAGTGGGAACAAAGGGCTTTTGGACAGAAATATTTGAAGTTAACTGGAAAGCTAAGGGAGGTGCAGGTGTTGCCTCCTTTATTCCCTCTGCTTTTATTTAGTTAGTTTTGCTAAAACTGTCTAGCCCTCAATAGACAGCCCTGGACACCAGATCCCTTTGCTCCTCTGCAGAACGGATGCTGTCTAGGCAGCAGTGGCTCCAGCTTCCCCACACGGCCTTGTCAACGTGCTACAGACTTGGGCAAAAAGGACTATCTAAGGCTTCGTGCCCATTCACTCCATGACCTCTCTGCAGAGACCAAGAGCAGTCAGTGCCCACTGTGATTGGGTTCTAATGGCCTGAATGTGCCCTGCCTCCCACTGATTTCAACAATCAGGCCCCTGCTCCAGTTTCAAGTGCCGCAGCTTTTCAGTCTTTGCATCGACTTCAGTGGACTGTGGAGCAGGCCCCGAGAGCAATGGGGCCACTCAATACAGAGCACATCCCTTACACAGAAAACACTGCAGTATGGAGCCAGCGCAGTACTCCGGAACCGACTGCGGCTGTAAGTTGTAGTGGTTTGGAGCATTACTGTGTCATCTGTTGTCATTTTTATATGAGAAATAAGTAAAAGCAACCTTCCTCGACAGATTCAACTGAGGATGTTTGCAATGGTAGTGTGCTCCGAAAGATAGTGTTGTCCAGTGGGCAGGGCGCTGGTCCACGACTCTGGAGACTACGTTCTATTCCCACCTCTGCCACTGATCTGCTGTGTGACCTCGGGCAAGTCACTTCAACTCTTTGTACCTCTGTTTCCTGTCTGTCTGGTCTATTTAGATTGTAAGCTCTTGTCTCTTACCATGTGTTTGTTCAGTGCCTAGCACAAAGGGGCCCTGATCTCAGTTAGGGCCTTGGGGTACCACAGAAGCACAAGCAGTTAACGACACTACTAAGAAGGGTTTTGAGAACTTCTCACTTTGGCACTCTCACAGCTCTAGGCCCATCCTTACCTCGCCCCAGCAAGCAGGACCACTTTAGCTTGCTTAATTCCCTTAGGAACCAGGTCTTTAATCACCTCCTGGATAATTAGCGATCCCATGAAGGCATAGTCTGCTAGAAGAAAAAGTCTGAGTTAACACTGACTGTGTCAAAGGATCTACTAGAATTGGGGAGCGGCATAAATATAACTGCCTACCTTGCTGTGACTTGGGCAAAGATCCACTCCAGATATCACTCGAGCAGTAAGGTACAAACCTAGGCAGAGGTAGCAAAGGAAAGGCACACAGTTATGGTCATCAGAAAGCACCTGAATAGACCGGAGAAACTCCTACTCCTTTCCCACCACATCACCTACTCAGCATTGGGATTATTTTGGACAGAGGTTCCCAGCATACAGGTACAAATAAACATGAGGGAGTCACTACCACTTTGCCTTTCCCATGTTGCTAAATGAGAGAGGGGTCTTGGCTAGATCCTAGCTAGATGGCAAGGGGGTCCCTGTATGGAAAAGGCTGAGAACCACTGATCCATGGCTTTGCCCCATGAGTGATGCGAGATTAGATTACACGAAAGTGAGTCACTACATAACCCCACCCTCCAGCTGTGGCAGCTCCAACCCTCCTTACTTTAGCACCTCGCAGTCCTTTCAAGAGGAGCCACACAGTTACCCAGAGAGCACAGTAGGTGTCACTCGGTGTTATTTGTAATGAGCAGTCAGAGTAGTAACTGGCCAGGAGCTGCTGTGAAATGTAAGTGGTAGTACAGTGCCTGGGAAGGTCCTTACACTGCATTGGCGTTCCATCAGTGAGGGCTCTCCTCCATCTGGGCAGACAAAATGCCTGTCCCTAGAGTCACAGACACACAACACAAAAGAGACATGTTGTACGAGACACGGTCTCAGAAAACCAGACCAAGAGCAGCAGCTTTCTCAGCTTCGAGAGCCAGGCATAATCCCTGTAAGGATCTCACAGTTTCCCCTCCTGTCTCACCTTCTTCCCAGGCTGTCACCCACCCATGTCATCCTCTCCCTCTAGAATCACAGAAGCGTAGTGCTGGAAGGGACCTCAATAGGCCATCTAGTCCATCCCCCTGTGCTGAGGCAGGACCAAGTATTCCGAGGCCGTCCCTCTCATTCCACATAAAGTTCAGGCTCCATCACTCTTCTCACAACTTCTGCCTATTCCTTATGCTTCTCTCCAGCATTTCTCCTATCTGCTCCCTTTGGCTGCACACTCTGACCTGAGCCAGGAAAGCACTTAAGCATGCGCGTAATACCATCTTACTGTACCTCAACAAACCCACTCACAACCTTAAAGTGAAGCCGGTGTTGAAGTGTTTTGCCATAGTGCTCAGCAGCTGGCAGGATCAAACACTTTGTCTCCTTCTTCCACTCAGTTTTCGGCCTTCTTTTATGCCTTCCTCTCCTCCTCCTTGTGCTTGGAACATGCCCATACCTGACCTGCTGAAAACACACTCCCTCTCCTCCTTCAAATCCCGCCTAAAACCTAACCTCTGTCATGAAGGCTTCTTCAGAGGCCTCCCCACAAGGAGGATTCTTTACCGGCTTCCAATGGAAATATAGTCCTTATGTATCACAATTATAGGAGTTACATTCTGAAATCACGGTCAGGAACATAAAGCCTGATTTTCCTCTCTGCTCAGAGTCAGCATAAACCCAGAGTAACTCCACTCACTTCCGTGGAGTCATTCCAGACTTGCAGCTGTTTAGTTGAGAGCAGAATCCATCCCCTTATCTTTTCACAGAGCCATGTGAAAGAAGGAATAATACAGCAATTGCAGCGAGTACCTTTCTTTGTTTGAGGCCACTCAGATGAGCTCATTAAGCGACGGATATTTTTATATCTGGTATCACATGTTTCTTTATTATAACAGCACCAGCCACCTGAATGGGAGCAAGAAGATTGTCTTAAAATCTTCATATCTCATCTGATTGAATTAAAATTTATTTTTGACTATATCATTCAGTCAATGTCATCTTTGATTCTTGACACTCTAAAAGCTGGGTCTTTATTCTCATCTCACACTGGTGTAAATCAGAAGTAACTCCACTGAAATTACTGGAGTTACACTGATCGATGAATGTGCGTTCAGAATCAAGCCCAACTTTTCTTCACAATTCCTTGCCTCATTAGTGCATTGTCATTTCCTACTGTACCTTCTAAGAATATGATCCATCTCTTGCTCCCTTTGTGCTCCCTTAAGTAATACCTGCAAATGGTGGAGAAGGAAAGTAAACACACATCAGACTATTTTTTCCTGTTACACTGTTTGTGAAAAGCAGGAGAGTTCTGATGTGATCATTACCCAGCTGTTGTCCCATCATTGCAGGTGATCAGGGGGTTCTTCAGAAAGAAAAGTTTCATGTCCTTGGGTGCCTTCTGCGCATGCCAAGAAGCAAGTGAGGTGCTTCTCAGCTGTGGTGCCAAGGCATCTTCCACAGGAGGAAGAACTCCCACAGAGACGTCTTCCTCACCAGCAGTGTGCTCCAGTTCCCCACTGGGGTTAGGGCCCTTTCGATTCTGGGCAGGAGTCTTCATGTGAGCTTTGGAATTACGTTTGCTTTGAGACACCGCTTCCCACAGGAGCAACAAAGTCACCAGTGCCCCTAGGATCTTCATAGCGACTGCCTCCTCCTGACTGAACAGGCAAAGAATAAATCCCTGGTATAATAAAAGGGCGACATGAAAATCTGAAGAAAGCGAAGTTTAAGAAAGACAGTGTCAGGAAGAATTAAGCCAGCAAGGAATGGACCTAGCCATATTCACAGGCATAGGCATAGGCATGTTACTACACTATAGAGATGACACCCCCAAAGCTGAAATAGCATCACATACCTTAAAGAATAGCTGGTCAATTGCTGATCTTCAACTGAAGCATTCTAACAAGTGCAATATCATAGGCAAGGTACGTCCCTGATGGCCAAAGAATGAAGATCTTGGGTTGGAAGCCCAGGAGGAGTGCTCAGATCACAGCTCCCAAGTGAACTTTATATTGTCCTCATATGGAACATATTTCTTCCCTCTTTTTCCTTTTTTCTTTTCTTTTCTTTGAACTACCGCCAAGGTTGAGCAGATGATAGGGGCTGGAGAAATGAAACTACACCCCGTGCTGAATAAGTTGCAAGACGTCCTTGCAAGCACTTTGATCTTGAAAGTTACATACTTAAAATTTCTATAATTTTATCCCCGTTTTGCTTGCTGCTTTTTGGAGGGTGGGGGAGGGTATGATCTGATGATATAAGCTTTGGCAATTCACCTCTGTGGGATGATTTTTAGTTGTTTCATGCATAAGAAATGCTAGGGGTTACATTTGTACTTGGTAAGAGCTTTCAATTCACTGTCTCATCAAACAACCTAAGCACCAGCTTTTCAACTTTTTCAGTGGATACTGCATCTTTCCCCTAGTTCATGTTTTTGTCAGATTTATAGAGTATCAGCATGGAAATAATAAAATAGTGCTCTTAAATATATTAGAGCTAGTTGAATTATTCATTATGAATAAATGATCTGATGAAGTTATTCCCCTTTTTCAAATGACTCAGTCATGAACCAATTCAGATTTCTGCAAATGTATTTGTTATTAGTTTGGATGAACAACTTGGAACGAATGGATTACTTGAGTACTGATCACCTTCAATATTTGCTAGTCATCTGTTAATTGGGCTGTGTGATTGGTCACCTCTGCGACATGGTATTGCGTCAGCTCCCTGATTGGATGCTTGAAAGTTTTAAAACAGAATAATGAATTATAAATAACAAAAAATGATGGATAATTTTGTATGCGTGTAAATACAGATATTTGCATGAGGAACAGCCAACCCCCCAAAAATTTGTATGAAAAAACCCTATTAACAAATAATTAATAAAGGACAGGAACACGGTCGAACAGCCATTCATAATTTGAATGAAGATTTTCTAACACAGGTTCTACTGAATTCAGTAGAGATACACCAGTGTAAAACTGGAGTGAGATCAGAATCAAGCCATTTGGTCACAGACCTAAGAGAAAAAGAATGTCAGAACATACCCTAACCTCTGTTTTATTTCATTTTGTAAAATACAGTCTATGTTCCTTAATCAGGTGGAAGATCATCAAGACAGAAAAGAGTGTTCAGTATCACAGACCCAACTGGCTATAAAAATCTACATTATAAGTTAAACTTCTAGTCCAGTGTAAATATTTCTTCCTCCCTTCCATTTAGCGAATTGGAAAAAGAAAAGAAAACTCTGTGCTCTTACCCTTAGCTGAGATGGAAAAACTTATCCCCCATGGAGCACACAGGAAATAACCATCACTGACTGGAGAGGAGATGAACATTGTGAAAGAAAACACAGTCTATTTGAAACTAGCAGACATATTTTTCAGATAGTTACAGAGTGACTCATTGGTCCCTAAAGGGAATTATGAGTGCAGCTTGCTCCCCTCACCCATCCATGAAATGCAACGCAGGCCATCCGCATCCATCAAAGGGACTTGCTGGTCCAGTGCTAAGATGCTTAGCTGGAGTGATCACATCATTAATTTCTCTAGGTTGCTTTTCCCTGAGGTTCCTCTCTTGGTGCGGGGGGTGGGGGGGGAGGCGGGGAGGATGTGTCAGATGCCATATGGAGATAGCTGGGGTGAAATAGTTCATGAAATTCGACTATCTCCAGAGATGAGGGTTTTCATCTGCCCGCCCTGCAGTTTGGGTGAGCGTAGAGCCAGCCAATAGACAGCACCATGGGGAGCTTCAAGTGCATTTTTAAAAACAGCTCTTTTGGCTTCAGTGAAGCCACCCTCTTACTTAAGTGATGTGACCTGGCAATTGGTCACCAAAAAATCTAATGATCCAAGAAGAGACTAAAAGGCTTCAGTGTCTGGAAAGGGGCAAATGTGCCTATTTCATCTATATCTCACCATGAGAGTCCAGCCCAGGTTTGTACCAACCGGGGGGACATTTCTACCTGATGGTTGTTTTGTGGCCTCAGAGAAATGAGCTGTGCTGGGGAAGGGTCAGTACAGGTCTTCTGAACAGGTGTCAACATTACAAAATCCTCCACCGCAACTGGTGCAGTTTGGCTGCCGTGCTGACATCCTCAGCAGAGAAGCTAAGGACTCAATAGGTGTGATTACTTCACTACTCACAGGAGTGGTCCCCACAAGGGAAGTCTGAACACAAGGCGCCACAAATCCCCTTCACGTAGCATCACTGAGGAGCCGAAGCAATCTCCCCACTCACCTTGTTCCATAAACTTTATCCCCTTACCTTCAAGCATAACTATAGTGCCTCCTCTCCAAGGAGAGGTGTCTCTCTCATAGACAACTTCTGTTGAGTTCTGATGATCAGATTGATGCCTGGACAGAATAGCTTACTTGGCTTCATGCCTGAACATCTCAAAATATGGCCCTTCATTCTCCTAATATGCTAATAAGTCAATAGAACAAGCGCTCCGTCCATGGGTGCAGGTTTCTCTCCTAGCACAGCAGCCACTTTTCTGAGACTCACTAAGGTTCATAAGGGGAAGTTAAGGGCTGAACCCAATCGCAACAGGATGTGACCTGAGCTGCCCTGTAGATTTACAGCAAGGCTGGTTCTCAGAAATGAAAGGGTGCAGGAGATCCACCTGCCCAGCTGTATTTGCAATAGATGTACTTACGAAATGGCCTGCACCTACTGCTCCATTGTCCTCGATTCTGCTGGTTTTATAGTTTCTCATATACAGTATTTCCTTCTTGATCATAACACAAGCAGCATCACTGCATTCTGCATACTAAAACCCAGGGCATGGTACGCTACGTATGCTGCAGCTGCACTTTATTAACATTACGGAACAAGGGACAAAGAGAGGTGAGAAGCCACCCTAGATCTTCTGATTCTCTTTTATGGCTGCCAGCATGACATTTTTACAACTCTGGTGGCAAAATGCAAACCTACGCCTTCTAACCAGTCACCTCAGCCAAAGGCAGATGTCGTTTCTCTTTTGTAGAAGAAATCACCATGGTTCATTTTCTTTGCATCAGCTTAAGTGTCATTTTAAAAACAAAGTAAAACGGTCTCAACAGAAAAGCTGATTTGGATGAGAGCGGAAGCTATGGAACATATGCAAGGGGTTAGGCATGATGTCGTGCACAGATGATGAGGGAGAAAAAGTTCAATCCTTAATGCTAGTCATGAGTTTTCATGCCTGTTTCACGTGTCTCTTTGTGCCCATACACTGATACCTGCAAAATGTATTGTTGATGGGATGGGCACTCTCAGCATGTGCTGTGTTTTTCATTTGTTAACACAATGGGGCCATGATGCTGATTGGGGCATCTGGACAAATAATAACAATAATAAAGAATTAAAACATTTGTCAAGTGCGCTCCTAATTCAGTATCCCCCAGAGCCTGTGCATCCCAGGATCCCCTGGCTGCAGAACTCACCTCCGGGCTGGCTGCAGAATTGCTTGGTGAGTTTGTACCCTAACATGCTGTAATGATGTTGCCTTTGGTGGGACACTTCTGAGAGTACCAATTCAGGACAAATTGCTGAGAGCAGGGCAATTACAACCCAAGGCTGGGGTTCCTTTGCACACCAAGGCAAACCAAACAAGCCAGAGAGAGAGGACTTTGGTTTTACCCCACTGGCTAACCATAAGTCACACAAGCAATTCCCTTAGACACCCCAGTTTCCAGTATCATCACCAGTGACACTCATTATGGGGGCGAATGGTTATGAAAACCAATATCCCAGTAAAAGAAAAACAGTTCTCCCAATCCCAAAGGACCAAGCCCCAGACCCAGGTCAATATACAAGTCAGATCTTACCCACAAATCACACTGTTGCCAATCCTTTAGCATCTAAAATCTAAAGGTTTATTCATAAAAGGAAAAAGATATAGATGAGAGCTAGAGTTGGTTAAATGGAATCAATTACATACAGTAATGGCAAAGTTCTTGGTTCAGGCTTGTAGCAGTGTTGGAATAAACTGCAGGTTCAAATCAAGTCTCTGGAGTACATCCACAGCTGGGATGGGTCATTCAGTCCTTTGTTCAGAGCTTCAGTTTGTAGCCAAATTCCTCCAGAGGCAAGAAACAGGATTGAAGACAAGATGGAGGAGATGCAGCAGCCTGTTAGCCTCTTGCCCATGGAAGGACACCTTTTGTTCTTACTGTGGAAAATCACAGTAGCAAGATGAAGGCTGGAGTCACATATCCATGCATGACACAGTTTGCAGGCCGACGCCATTGTTTACATGTTAGTTTGAACATTCCCAGGAAAGCTCAGATGTGGATTGGCGTCTCCCAAAGTCCATTGTCAGTTAAGTGTTTCTTGACTGGGCACTTACTGAGAATAGTCCCTTCTCAAGAAGCTGACCAAATGCTTCACTGAGGCTACTTAGACTCAAAACACATTGATATACAAGTACATAGCCAATATTCATAACGTCAACTATAGAAATGACAGACCCATACAGAGAGCATAATCATAATCAGCAAAGCATAACCTTTCCATAGACACCTTACACGACAACCTTTGTACAATATTTGCCGCAAATATATAACAGTGGTTGCAACAATGATCTATACAGTCACAGGTTATGTCAGTAATGTCACACATGCATTTGGCTCACTAAATTTGGGATGAAAGGCAAGTCTAAACGCTGCCACTCCAGATAACCCGAAAGCTCCCAGTCAACAAAAGAAACAGACTGAAAAGCGAAGGCCCTCCCCTGGGGCACCATGGCAGCTGGCCTATGAAGCTTCCATGAGCTTCACAAGCTCTGCAGCTGTGGTGGAGACTTCTTGCTCCATCCCAGCAGTGCTGGGGATTACATGGCTGCCTATGTTTTCCGCTTTTCTGGCATAGTCACAGACTCCACTGGGCACGGGGATATTGTGAGGAGCCTGCTGTCTGTGGGGGAATGACATTCAGTCGGCTTGGGGAGGCTTTTAAAGAGAGGCGTGACCTGACTTATTTGCTTTCATCCTGGGAAACAGCCTTGTCCTTGTCAGCCAAGGAGAAGCAGACAGCAGCAAGTGGCCCCCCGAGGCTAAAGATTTACCTGCTCCCAAACCCAGCAGTAAATGGAGAAGGAGAGAGGGCCTGCCTAGGTCCACTGACAAACAGGTCCCCCTGTCAACAACAGCCCCCCTTGCAACCAGGCGTTGAGGAAGGGGAAAGGTACACATTCAAATTTCTATTGATCAAATCAGCCCAGTTCTGTGCGTATTGGAGCTAACTTTGGCCCAAGTGCTGCAATAACTCCTGTGAGCTTGCTGCAGGCACTCACCTGCACAGCGTGGGATGCCACTGAGCCCTTGTGCTGGGTATGGCTCCAAGTGCTGTTGATGTCTTTGGAGATCCCTGTCTTGAATTTTATTAAGCTCTTCACCCTAGGCAGAAATGTTTGGAGAGGAGGTTTTTCAACAGCCAGGATGTATTACTCCAGGCACTCTCTGCTCTAATGTGCTGTCAAATATTAACGTCTATTACATCCCAAATACAAATGGATTTCAAAATATCAAAGTGTTTCAAATATTGTCTCCTTAAATAGAGAATTCACACTAAAATCACAGCATTAGACAAAGAGAGAGACATGTTCACAAAAGGATCCAAATAAAGACTGACCAATAAAAAGGTCTCCTCACAATAAAGGTGGTTAGTCTAATTCATTATTTTCCCATGAGCCATCAAATGAAAGGTCATATACAGTAGCTCTTACGTAGTCCTTACTCAGACAATCCTCAACGGAAATAATCAAATAATTAAAATAGTTAGCTCTTATATAGAGCTTTCTATCCCTAGATTGTGAAGCGCTTTACAAAGGAGTTCAGTATCATTAGCTCAATTTTACAGATGGGGAAACTGAGGTACGGGGAGAAATGACTTGCCCAAGGTCACCTAGCAATCTAGGGACAGAGCTAGGAATAGATTCCCTGTCTCCTGAATCCCCAGTCTAGTACTCTCTCTCTCTTCTCTCCCCCACTAAGCCTGGAGAAACAACTCAGCATGAAATCCACTCCTGCACAGAGGGCCTGCATCAGTCCTATGAACCACATAAACCCTTCAAATGTAAATCAATGTCATGTCATATCCATCAGTATAATATTTGAACAGGTTCTGGGGAGTTTTCCATTGGAGGGGACCTTGTTTGCCTCCCATGCAGACTCCTCTATAGATGGCTGTGTCCTGACAATGGTGCACTCTGATTCACAGCCCCTCATCCTTTAGCAGAGGCTCAGGGCCACACGGGAGATGATCACATTTGAACAAATCATTTCTTGAAGCACACTCACCCAAACCCTTTTTCACACTCTCATTCCTTTTGTGGGTGGCTTTTCTGCACCTGTCTTTATCTGTGATCTGTTTATTCAGGACTGTTATCTATGACCCGCAAGGGAGGCATACTTTTTGAGTTAGGAGCTGGCTTTGCATTTGTTAATGCCTGCCATGCATCAGTTTCCTCTTACAGGCAGTTCTTATTGGCACGCTGACACATTCCGCATAATGAGTGACTGATGCTCTGTGAACATAGTTCTTTGTGGAGCTGACTGGATCTTAATCTTCTTTGCATTAAAGCAATGCATGCTACTTTCACCTAGCCCCTACCTGATTTTGCTACTACATAATACAGACTAGGTCGGGTGACCGTTTTTCACTTTGATGTAGTGGTCTGTATGCATTTATTAGGTTCCTGGCAGCATAAATCTGGCCCCTTTCACTTCTAAATAGGTCTGGTGAGGTTGAAATATACAGTAAAATGTCATCCTCATAATAGACATTTTCCCTGTTTACTCGTCATCATTTGCACTTGCTCCTGCAGCACAGGGAGGGAAGGGGCTGGTTTAATTTAACAACAAAAACATCTGTGTGCACCTGTTTCCTTGCTGATGGCAGCAGTACAGTGTTGAGCAAAGGTTCAGGAGTTAAGTGATGGTGCTAAACCATCAGGGGAACCAAACTTTGGGCTCACTTTACCCCTTGATGTGCACGCCCCACTCTAATTGACTGTGCTGACTTGCCCCACCATTTTAGCAATGTTTTCGGACCTTATTCAGCCAGACCGACCAGTGGTGGCTTTTTCAGGAGTGTTGCCTTTAGTGGGAATTTTGCCTGAGTACAGGCCGGAGGATTGGATCTTTAGTTTGTATTGTAGATTTTGTCAGCAGACTATCCGAAATTAAAGTAAACATTTCTTCATGTGATAGAGAGAGAAATGAAGCCCCAAATGCTTAGTCATATCAATGGACTCCTTAGTACTATCACTCAATAGCTAATCAAGTCAGCCAACCCCTCTGCATTCAGCCTGGGATTTTCAGAGCAGCCTAAGGTCCAGATTGCGACCCAGCCAGCGTGATGCCAAAGAAGTGTAGGGGAACACTTTACCGGCAACACAGGTAGCTCATGGGAGAGGAAGCAGACACCACAAAGTTGCTATATCCCCCCTCATGCAAGTGAGTGAGAGAGGCTAGAACTTAGAGGGGAAAGGCCAGAGCATTAGCTCCACCCCACCCCCAGCCAGGCCAGCATCCTGGTTCCAGTGTGCACCACGGAACATATGCCACACACAGCTGAGTTTACTCCCTCCATGGGCAGTGCAACAACATGCTCCCTTGTTCAGGGCTTGTGCCAAAGCTAAGGTTCGGCCAAAGGGAATGAGGCTCCCATCTGCACTGAATTTCCATAGAAGTTAGGTGTTTAATTCCCTTAAGCTCCTTTTGGAAATCCCACCTGAAACCATTATTAAAAACGATTATGACATGTATTTATTTATTGGTATTGCAGTAGTGTGCAGAGACCCCCAGACAATTTGGGCCCCTGTTGTGCTAGGCTCTGTACACCATAGCAAGAGAAAAGCATTGCTTAACGCATAAATTGTATGAGACACTTCTGTATGTTTTCCAGATCAATCAGCTCTCGTGCCTCTACTTAGGTCAGTGATTGGATAGAAAAATAAAATGTTTAATTCCTCTACGATGCGATGTTTGAAGTGCTGCCAACTACAAACTTCACACGAGAAACTGCTCTCGGATGCTGTATATTGTGTTCTGTTTAGGCACTAGAAATCAACCCATTCACCTCATTTCTAGGTTTGATCTCCTCAAACCTGAAGATATTAGTAGGCTAATCAATCCGTTTTCTTCTGTCTTTGTATTGTCTATATGCAAAATTCCTATTTGTCTTCCTAAAACTACTGATCTGTTGTTCAGCAGATACTTAACATATCTAAGGAACGAATAAACGGCTGTAAATCCCTCATCCCATTTCCCAAATGCATCCAGCACCCCTTGTTCACAAATGTTCGTACAATACCTGAAATAAAGTCACATCATCGTTTCAGTATTTAGTGTAACTGAGTGGTTTATCTTTGAGCTGTACAAATTTGGAGAATAAAACAATGACCACACTCCCTACCAAGTGCATAAAACATTAAAGAAAATGGTTCTATGTTCACCGAAATGAAGACGGGACTAATTATAATCACACTAACCATAAAAAGGTTTTGGTTAAAGTCTCGTACATATATTTGGGCAATTCAACAATGCAAACTCTTTGTCCCTCTTGATAGAATCTGTCTAAAACATGCAATCAAACAACACAGCCACTGTAAGGTTTCATTAATAGTTATATGTCTCTGGATTGTCATTTGTCAAGTTATTTGAATGATTTACTAGTCACCGAGTGTCGCTGGAGGAGCCTTTTGTTCTGTTCCATCTAGTCTGTTAAAAATGTCACGCATTTGGACAAGGTCATTCAGTGCTCGGTCCTTTGCTCACGAGGGAATTCTTCACCCTTGGGGGATTATAAGTGGCTATTTTAAAATCCAAGGCACAATTTTATTGACTTAGCTGGACTTTTATTTAGGTCTTGTTTGCTCTGAGTCTTGTTTCTGCGTGTGTTTGCTGCACTGAAGCAACCCAGAGGGTGCTCGCATTAAGGATGCTCAACAAAATGAAGGGAAGGCTTGACATTCAGGTGAACATTGAAACAGCACTCTCAGAATTGCTTGAAGCTGCATGGCAGTGAGTAGCGAGCTGCCGCATCTAACAGGAGCACTCGTCTGCCACGCGCTTTGTTCTGCTGAACATATTGCAACGTGAAACTCAAAGGCCCATACCCTCAACTGCACCAGAGCTCCCCCAGCACAGTCTAAGGGGCAGGGTGAGAAAGGAGCATGAACGGGCAAGCAACTTCTAACCTTTGCTCTTCCCTGAAGCTGGGGCTTGCTGGGTTCATCATGGCTGCTCTAAATTACAGCTGGCTGCAACTGCATGTAAGGGGCCATTCTACAGCCATGGTGCATCAAAGCAGCACAGAGAGTCTGGAGCAAGTCAGGATCTGGCCCCACAAATCAATCCAAGTTCATCCAAGATTCACTTGGCAGGTTGTTGAACCTTAGTCAGCCTTTCACCAAAACCTGGGCTGAGTTTTGAGTCTGTAATGAAATCTGAAACCAGGCCAGTTCTCTGCTTGTGCCCAGGCTAGATCTAGATTGAATGACTCCAGGAGAAATCTGCACTGGGGACCTCTATTAGTGTCAGTGTGATTGATGGTGTGACTACACCAGGCCCAATTCTGCCCTGACTAGCATCCCATTCAAACCCATTGGTTCAAACAGGATCACATGGGGTATAACTCTGGGCACAAAGTGGCCTTTTTATTATGTGCTGGACTGCTGTCCATATAGGCAGTTACACTGTGGTAAAGTCAAAGGGAACCATGCACTTGGATCAAAGTTTAGTGAAATAGTACTGTCAGTTATAATCTGTCATTGATTGCCCGTGGCTCTGTGTATAGTGGCATGTAATCTGTCATAGATTGCCTGTGTTTCTCTATAGATTCACATATAATTCGTCATCAACTGCATGTGATCTAGTCCTATGTAATATGTCACTGATTGCCCAGGGCTCTGTGTACATTCACGTGCAATCTGTTGTAGATTGCACATGGAGCCCAACACTTCTGACATAGTCATCTTTAAGAATATACTTTAGTTGAAATAAAACTCATATTATGCAGCTGTGGTAGAGGCACACAAACATCCAAAAGATTAGTATACATCCTCTCATCCTTTTATATGTGAAAAAACCAATTGCTGTGATAATACCAGGTTTCAGAGGAACAGCCGTGTTAGTCTGTATTCGCAAAAAGAAAAGGAGTACTTGTGGCACCTTAGAGACTAACCAATTTATTTGAGCATGAGCTTTCGTGAGCTACAGGATGAAGTGAGCTGTAGCTCACGAAAGCTCATGCTCAAATAAATTGGTTAGTCTCTAAGGTGCCACAAGTACTCCTTTTCTTTTTGTGATAATACCTGCACTCGTAATTCATTCTGTTCAGTAAAAGTCTTTAAAGTGGTTATAGAAAGAATAAAAGAACACAACCCAATATA